GAATTTCTCCTCCCTGTATTACTGCGAAATTAAACTTGAAGGCCGTGAGAACAAGGGAAATGACGGTCAACTTGGAGCTCTTGATTATGAGGCAAATTCTCCTCGTTATAACCTCGAGGAATGTATGGAGAATAGTATGGAGTAAGTACTGAGAATTTGCAGCTAGCCCAATTGAGTAATTATTTAAGTGAAAACTCTCGCATTTTCGACTTCAAGCTAAGAATATTTGACGAACGAGTGAACGACTGAGTTCCAAATTTAAGGACCTTGAGATTTGTTCGACACAAATGCGCTCAATAATTATCAGCTTCTTTAGTACCATACAGTGAGCTTTACGATTGCTAACAAACACCTCCACTCTACGCAGGAAATATCGAGCTGCTGTAAGCAAGGAACCTGAATTTACACATCATTTGTACTCTGTAGGCCGCTAACAAATGTTTCAACTAATTTCAGAAAACTTAAGACAGCAGAATGGCAATTAAGAAGACATTGTGCTTCACCTTGGTTGTACTTGCCTTAACATGTCCGGATGAGATCTCTGGAGGTATTTATCAATGCAGTTTAAATGACATTTCCTTGCATGAAAACTAACAACCTTTTCTAATACAAAATTTTTAAATGCCAGGCGCATATTTCTAACGATTCGTTCCACTCTATCCTAAAAATCAAATTTATTCACATCACTTGTGCTTTACTTTTGATTGTTCCTCCTCAGATAATTTTATAAAAGAAAATGGATCTCCCGTGTGTTTTGGTGCAAGAGATACACAAGTGGGAAAGTTTGTAGTTCCTGTAGATGGAAAAATGGGAGGCGTAAGGCTGGTCCACCTGTACGGCTACGTGTCTTGTCACACGCCTAGTCACCATGTGGCTGTGGTTATGAAGCGTACCAGGAGATCAACGCTGTCATAACCGATGACAAAAATCGAAATCTTTTGCCTCCTAAGGAGTTCCTGAGCTCTTACCACGCAGCAGAAAAATGGCACAAAATTCCAGGTTACAACTCCATGAGCCCTATCCTTGAGCTAAGTGTTTAAAGATCCCATTGATGTGAGTGCTGGCCAAGAGCTACGACTGTGGTACGTGACAACGGGGGAAGACCCTGCGATGACGTTTTTATCCTGTACGTTTGAGATGTAGTATTCCAGTTTTAGAAGATTTGCTTAGAAGAAGAACCTGTAATAAGGTTACCAAAAAATAAACCGAGGGTTTTAAAGGGAAAGCTTCCTCCTCTCTAAAAACATATCTCGACAGATTTGTCGCAAGTCCCTCACCGCTTGTTTTCCTCAACGCCTCGAAGTATCGTGATAATCTCACTTAGCAGAACAGCGTACACTTACTGTAAACCTTTAGAAGTCAAATGAAACACACAAACTCCATAAAGGCCTACGAACGCCTCAAAGAAATGACAAAATAAACTAAGGGAACTACCAAAACAAATGGAAAAGAAAAAATGAGAAAGAAAAATGGACAAGAAAAAATGGAAAAGAAAAAATGGAAAAGAGAAAATGGAAAAGAAAAGAGGGCAAAGGAAAAACAAGCTGTAAAATCTACATATTTATTTTTTTGGAAACTTTCACATTCTGAGCAAAGCGTCGTAGGTATATAATAACTCTCAATTTTAAAGTAGTTGTAATTGTTATAGCAATACAGAATTTCGTAAGTTGTTGAGTGTACTTGTAAAAAGCGCAGTTTCAAGCAAATCTTCGGATTACTGTTGTTTTAAGAAATACTCCAATCCATGCCAAGATTACTCCCTACAAAGTCAAGGCGGTCAGTAATTAAATGAAACAGGAAACTAGTCTTTGGGTATGCACTTGTTCCTTGACGCAAGTCAGGTTTTGGATGGACTTTCAATGCTGCCAATCTTCACTCGTTCTCTTTCGTGTTTAGATTACCATGTTTTGACGAACATGAAGGAATTTTGTTCGCCTTTTTATTCAAACCTTGCGACGAACATACATGTAACGTGTCTGTTCACCGCTAGATTCAACACTTAAAAAAACAGTTAAGAAATAGGTGAACAAAACAACTGAGACTTTATAAAAATACAAACAAACAACGTAAAGCAAAAGGAAAGAAGGACTAACCCAAATGACACCTTCTTAAAAACAAAGTGAAACCTTTCAAAGCACCAAGGTTTAATGTCAGCTAGGGGAATTTTTCAACAATGATCAAATCAACGAGGTTATCATCAAATTTTGATTCACTTTATAAGAGTTACAAAATGCTTTCTTTACACCTGACAACGAAAAACCAGAAGAGCTTTTTAAAGCAAAACCATCTACCGCTTAAGTTTACATAAATACAGAAAAAAGGAAAGAAAAAAAGATAGTTACCGATAAAGAAGATGATGATTACCGAGAACAAAAGACACAGCCACTAATAAAAACAAAATTGAAATAAATTTAAAAAATTCAGAGGGCACCGTGACGTGACGCAAAACACGCAGAGAACCAGGAAATAAAAGGATCACTGAACACAAGCTACATAAGTATTTAAATACAAAACTGGTTAAAGGTAAATTCTCCATGCGATTGGCAGTGGTTGGTGGGAGAATTTAGTGGCCTATGGATACCACAGCATTTACATTACTTCACAAAATTGGCATTAATCCTCAAAGCATGGGTTGTTTGGATTGTCCGGACTGCACTGGAAGTAACATGCAAATCTCCTGTCTAACTTGGCCAGAAGTACATTCGTTTCCCCTTGCAACTTTGTTACTTTTTGGATAAGGTCTTCATAGCTAATAGTCACATTCTCAACCTCTGCAAAAGCGAAAGGAACACGTGTGTTACGAGGAAATTTTCTTACAAGGGGATCAGTTCTACCGTGGTACTAAAAAAAAAAACCGAGCTGTGAATTCCAAATTATTTGTCACCTTAGCTCACTGTGTCCTAAGAGGTGATAGAATTAATTGAAAGCACATAGTAATTGGAATCCGTAGTTCGTGTCATATCATATAACGTAAGAGGGTGGAGTCGGCACTCAAGCCAAGTGATCCACCAAGCCGGCGCTTATCTGCCTAAAACCCTCCTCCCCCCCCACCCCCAGCATTTCACCAGGCCTTCCAATTCGACAATTTGCCGGTACCAGTTATACTCCTCGGTGGAGAGGACCTGTGAGGGTAACGTTTTTGCCCAAGAACACAACACATTGACCCAGCCAGGCCCAGCGCACTGATCATTGGGCCACTTAGTTTGCCTTTCATACAATATGATGCACTTTTTTTTAACACCTTAATGGGTGGAAATGAGACTGTCGTTGCAGTGCCTGGGGTGTTCTTGTTAAGTTATTTACACTGGAAAGTGTCTGAAGAAAAACTCAAATAGACGCATCTGAAGGGCACAAACTTACTTATAATCCTCTCCATTTTTTCCTGCAGACGTTTTATTAATTTAATTGCCTGTTCCTTCATGTCGACAACTTTTTCGGAGGCACTCCGCACTGCTTCATCCTTATCTTCAATGCTTTCCTTCGCTTGGTTAAACAAGTCCATCAGTTCATCTGCTTCCTGAAGAAAAAAAATGCTTGTTTTTCCATCGCACAGCTTCACCACCAGGACCGAGAATCATCCCTAGATCACTGAAATTAGAAGGGCTTTGATACATCTCTCCTCGCTCTTGCGTTACAGCGGCCTGTTTCTCGAAAGTCCGGTAACTTGACGGCCGAAACCATATTTTAAAATTTAAACAATAGAGGAGTAGTTTTTAGCACCCTAACCAGTCTCTTGTTTCTTTAGCTGATAATTCATTTGTATCGTTTTCAAACTTTTTAAACCTGCATCTTGAAGGAAAACCGAGGAGCTTCGTAGGCTCGTTAAGTTATTGGAACCTTAGAGAAGCGGGCCCAAACCATTAACAATAAAGCCCCTCCGAGGGAGTGGCTTCTAATTTCCCCTCACAGTATCATCCGTCAGAAACACGGTGCGATCAAGAGAATAAAGGACATGATCATCAAAAAAGAATCTTTTGATCGTTAAACAAATTCTTTTTGTTAGCATTTTAGGAAATGTACGGAGAACAGTTTAGAGAATATGCATACTGATGTTGGGGTGTAAAGAGTTAAAAGAAAAGTTTCCATTTACAATGAATACTTCCAAACGCAGAGAAAGTCGCAATGCCTGGTACGCGGGGAGGGGGGAAGGATTCGCATTTTTAACCCACCTTCGGGTTTGAAAAAGAGGACTCACCCCCTCTTCTATTAAAAATTCCTGCCTATATCCCAGCCACAAACCTTTTCAGCTGTCACTGATTCCCCATGTGTGTCATTGGCCTTCTGCTCCGTGATAGCAAGCTGTTGTTGATTCTTGTCGAATTGTTCTGTCACCATAGGTATCATGGCGGCCATGTTGGTCACGTTAGCGCGAGCTGTATCCACGTCTTTCTCTAATTTGTCCAACGCCGCTTGAAGCTGGAAAAAAGCAAGAGAACAAAAACATTTATAAATTAATAAAAACAGGTTAAGAGATTAATCAAACTTAAAAAGTTGCTATCTTGATCTAACATCAAATTCTCGTAACCAATTAACAAGGAAATGTGTAGCAGC